GGCAGAATTGCTCTCTCTAAGCAATGTAATCACATGCTTTACAACTGCATCACTGAGCGATGGAAGTTTGAGTCCCAATTGCCACCATAATCCAAGACCACCTATATTCAGCTAGATAGAAGATAAGCATTAATAACACTCTCTTACATTCCTTCGAAGGAATAGGTTGAAACTTGCAATTAACTTGTAAATGAGGCTTGGTGGTGGTGGGAGGCATGATTTCCCTACTTTATTCCTCTCCAGATGACATTGGATCTTTTAATGTACAGCAGTTTTACAATTCATATAGGCCAGTGGTTCTCAACCTGTGGGTCAGGACCCCATTTGGGGTCGAACGACCATTTCACGGGGGTCACCAAACAACGCAGTCCGCCATTTTTTCCCCCTTTTCCTTAGCTGTGCTACTCCCTTTTATTCTATTGGCTTTTGAAAGCCAATAGAATAGACTCTCTTGAATAGAGTCTAATTCTATTGGCTTTCAAAAGCCAATAGGAATTGTCCAGGCTGTCTCTGCCCTGCTGAGCCCGCCAAAAGTCCCATTCTGCAAACGGTGCTGCACCAGTTGAGTAGTCCTCGACTTACGACCGGTTGGGGGTCACGGCATTAAAAAGGTTGAGAACCATTGATCTAGATGACTTTGAAGGTGTATATTTTAGCATATTTCTGCTTTAAAGACACTACAATTCATTCTCAGATTTTTGTCAATAGTGGCTTTAACATCAGCAGGAATACTCCTTGAGGCCTCCCCTGAACATTCAAGTAACCACAAATACCATCACAAGTATTTTGCATGTCTCATGTACATTTATTAGGTATTCTTCTAAAATATGAAAATGCTATGTAGAAATCAGCCCCCATCTTGACTGATTATCTTTTGCTTTTTGTTTTCAGAGAGCAGAAATATTTTTCTATTAAATTCAGGATGGCAACTTCTTTGTAAATGAACATATTTTACAAATTACCCCGGACAAAACTACATTTCAGCGGAGGAAACAAAACATAAAAATTCATAGCATTGTAGCAGACGTTCAAATATTTTTCTTCACATTGCAATTTTTAACCCCATGTTTTCTGCTAACAATATATCATTGCAGATATGAATTTCATTCACTGTAAAAAAACATAGGACTATCAATAATATATTGATACTTCTAAAACACTGTCTGCATGTTTTTAATGATTTTTCCACCTAAACACCTTTCATCTGAAGTGAGGCAAACAGAAAAACTGAGATGGGCACATAAAACATATACCAGTAGAAGCCTTTTTTATCAATGCAAGTGATAAAACACTGAATAGGATTATGTTGTATAGATAGACGATAGAATGCAATTCTCTAAGCAATATAACGACACAAAGAAATATATTGTTAGTCTCCTGTTTGCCTATCATTTGTCCAACTTAATTCTTATTTTAAGGTGCTTCCAGATATTGGCTCCCACTATTCACACTTGATGGCATTATGGCGTGAAAGGTAATGGATGAGAGGATAACTGTAAAAGACTCATCTGGAAGTATCTCAGAACACAATGAGATTGAATAATTGATGCATTAAAAATCCACCATCCCTTGCATTGTTGCAAATGCAGTTTTCTAGCTAGAAAAATCCCTACCTTAGATGAAGACTGGAGCAAGGTCAAATGAAGAATCTCAATCATGTTGCACAGCATGAAAATAGAGACTTAATACTCCATATCTCTACTACATCACACTCACCTTTCCTCATTTCCAAACAATTTTATCACATATGTGATCTACATAAGGGTATTTCCACTGATACAACACACTCATGGTGTTCATGAGGAGCAGGGTTTTTTTTTGTCATAGAACGCCCAGAACGGAGTTCCAGCACCTTTTTTGGATGGAACCTTGTAGGGTAGGCAAGGCAGGTTGTATGACATATGTGAGTTCCGGCACCTTTCTTTTTAAAGAAAAAAAACACTGATGAGGAGATTCAATAATGTCCTCCATCAAAAGTGTGTATGTCTATTGTTGAAAGAAAAATCTTCATCAGAGTCCAGTTCAAGCTGGGAATAAACAAAATGGAGACTGCTTTAGAAAGAAGGTTGGAGTTTATTGAAGAGGAGAGCCAGACAGAAAGATGGCTGGAAAAGCTGACCCCATGTAATAGCGAGTAGTGGGATTTTATACCTTCTTGAGCTTTTGTTTGGAGAAGTTCCTGTGGCATGAACTTTGACCTGAGTCTGAGCGTGCCTTTCTGGTATTCTGATGGCGGTGGGTTAATCCTATTATGTCCCAAAAGTCATATCCTGTTTCCTTGAGGCTGTGGTTGATGATTGTTGGATTTTTGGTGTGAGGGATTGTTGATTCTAGGGATCTTTGTCTTTCTAATCCAAGCTTCCTGGCTCCAATTTTTCTGACAAGATTATCACATCTGCATTTAGTAATAGTAGTAAAGTTGGAAGGGACCTTGGAGGTCATCTAGTCCAACCCCCTGCTCAGGCAGGAAACCCTACACCATTTCGGACAAATGGCTGTCCAGTCTCTTCTTAAAAACTTCCAGTGTTGGAGCATTTACTGCTTCTGGAGGCAGGCTGTTCCACTGATTAATTGTTCTCACTGTCAGGAAGTTTCTCCTTAGTTCTAGGTTGCTTCTCTCCTTGATTAGTTTCCACCCGTTGCTTCTTGTCCTGCCTTCAGGTGCTTTGGAAAATAGCTTAATTCCCTCTTCTTTATGGCAGCCCCTGAGATATTGGAATACTGCTATCATGTCCCCCCTTGTCCTTCTCTTCGTTAAACTAGACATACCCAATTCTAGCAACCGTTCCTTATATGTTTTAGCCTCCAGTCCCCTAATCATCTTTGTTGCTCTTCTCTGTACTCTTTCTAGAGTCTCAACATCTTTTTTTACATCGTGGTGACCAAAACTGGATGCAGTATTCCAAGTGTGGCCTTACCAAGGCATTGAAGAGTGGTATTAATACTTCACGTGATCTTGATTCTATCCCTCTGTTAATGCAGCCTAGCACTGTGTTGGCCTTTTTGGCAGCTGCAGCACACTCCTGGCTCATATTTAGGTGAGTGTCTACTAGGACTCCGAGGTCCCTCTCACAGTTACTACTATTGAGCATGGTGCCACCTATGCTCTGCAGACCTGGTTTCTGTTTGGGGCAGAGAGACTTGGGAGATGGGGGTTGTGTGTGGTTTCTGCCTTTAAGATCCTTTGGGTAAGGTGACCAGCTTTTTTACAATGAAAAGGAGGACACAAATAAATTTAAGAAAAAAAATATCGTAAATCAAAGAAACGTTTTATTCATTGCAACAATAATACAGAATACACTATAATATGATAAATGCATAATAAAAACCATTTGTAACAATAACATTTTATATTGTAATTATGCTTACATGCCGTGCTCCCCCCGCAGCCACCCCGCCAGCACTGCTGCCCCACCGTGTACAGCGGGCCCCATGGCTCCCAAAGCACCAGCTGCGCTGGTTCCAGCCCCCGGGGGCAGCCTGCCCTCAACACACCCCACCTGCAGCTGCCCCGCCAGCACCACCACCCACCCTGCACAGCTCCCTGTAGAGCACGCCCAGTGGTTCCCACAGCACGGGGGGGCAGCTGGCCACCGCTGCCCCTCACACCCCCACCCGCAGCAGCCCGCCGCCCCAGCCTCTTGCGCCCACAGTCATTATTGCCCTAGCAGGGCCAAAGATCAAGAGAAAGTTACCATGGCGTCGCCACTCCAGTCTCCTCCAGGAATCTTCGGAACTAAGTAGGAGATGGTGTAGTTGGATAGCAGGGAGGGGTGCAAAGTTCCTGCCAATTCGCCTTCACTGCAGACAACTTACATGTGCAAAGTTTGCTGGCCGGGTGTTTTGGCACGCTCATCAGCAGTTCCTATTGGCTTTCGAAAGCCCATAGGGGAAGTAGAACAACTCATGCAAAAGTTGAAGGTGCCAGAATGCCGTTCTGAGCGTTCTATGAGAAAAAAAAAAAGACCTGCAGATTAGTCTTCAAATATCGAAAAGGAGGACATGTAGGAGGACACATTTCGAGGGAGGACAGAACTCACAAAAGGAGGACTGTCCTCCCTAAAGGAGGATGGTTGGTCACCTTACTTTGGGGAAATATAATATTCTGCCTTTTTAATATTCCCCAAAATATTTATTTCTCTGGATTCTTTCCACACTATGTTCAGACAGCAAAATTGTGGCCAGTTGCACATTTTTTCTAAAATGCCCTGTTTATTACCCTCAGAAGCTGGAATTAAATTCTTTCCTAGTTGCAAGCTATCCTGATGTGCACTTCCTATTAAATGACAGGACCAGAACATTTTTAGAAAGGTGGCCATAGCAATGGTGGATAGAAATCGCTGGATCTGAATATTGCAGACATGCTTACTTTATTATTTAATATATACATCGTCCATCTCACCAATAAAGCAATTCTGGATGGCTTTCAGAGAAGGTCTTGCTTTGAAAGGTCTTCATGCTGATCATTTTTTTAATAACTTTTTTTCCCCTCTGTATTCTGACTGCCCATTTTTTATTAACTAACTAAAGAATTCACCATCTGCCAGTAGAATTTCTCTCTCCTAGATTAATTTATCCTAGTCCCAAACTAAACAGCCGGGAAAGAGGGGGAGGAGGAAGACAGGATCCTGTAGGTTTTACTTTATATATATATAAAATACCCATAGACTAACAGACTGTAGTAACTGTACTCTGCGCCGTGTGATCTATTGATATTAAAGATGGATGGTTTACTGCCACAAATTTAGGCTGTTTCAGCACAGCGTTGTTACTTTACTGCCCCCCCCCCCTTATTCGCCGTGATGTCACAGAAAATAAATTGACTCGGTACAGTGTATCTAAAATATGCAGGAAACAATGTAATCGAAGTTCCTCTTCGATTACAGCCTACTCTTCCCCGTTATAGCGCCACAGCACGGGTGGGCTTGCTTTTTTCCCGGAACCAAAATGTCGCAGCGCTTGTTTCCTGGGTACGTTCCTTGAGATCTTTCCACCGGAAGCGTTACTGCCCGGGTGGATTAGACCCGCTCCCTTCGCAATACAGCGGAGGAGAGGCGATAACTCTCTCCGTTACTTTGTCGGAGCGATACATCTCCCCATCCCTCTTGGTGTTTCTACAAAGGTGGCTCGTCTTCGGAGTGAAAGAAATGTGGAGGCTGGTTAGGCGCCCTTTAAGCGCCCTCGCGGGGACGCCCGCGCCTTCAGGTTAGACACACCACACACACCCCCATACACACCTTTTTAGGGATATGGAGTTAAATGGTTGAGCTCTTGTTCCATGCCTGCCTCTCTGGTATGTACCGTATATGGCTTGAAAGAACTATGCGACAACTGCATAGCAAAGGCAGTCATTTCGTATCTGTAATAGTTGTGAAAGGAGAAAAACGTTAACCAGTATAAATTGTCCTTATCCACTGCAAGTTTTATTTATAATAAAGAGTAGTTCATAATGAAGTATAGAAGGCTGAGGTCTTACGGTCTGGCGTGTTGTCTTTAATTCTGTCCTTAGTTGCCAGCTTGGGGAGATGGGTTGGCAATGGTCTTGAGAAACAGCAGTTTATTCTATTAATTGTTGAATCTTTTGTGTTTGATTCCTTATGGTTTTCTTTTAAAGTGATATCGTAACTAGTTTTTGCCCGTTATTTGTATGGTAAGTGCTGCTGAGTCTAATTCTTTATAGTCTCAAATAAGCTGTTGTGGCTTGCAGAAGTGTTAGGACTATAATTCCCATCATACCCAGTCAGCATGCATGATAGGCTACACAACCTAATATCTTCAGAGGAAAACTAATTGAAACCAATTCCTATTATGAGATAAACGTTTCCAGGATATGCTACAGGTTTGTTAGATGGAAGAGTTGTGTATGGGCCAATTACTTTTTGGCAATAACTTTTTATACTTTTTTTTTTCAGGTTTTGGTGGAATCAGAATTCTCACTGCTGGTTACAGGAAATATGATCCGCTTCCAGATTATACAGGTGTGCTAAGGGATAGAGGAAAATGTTACTGAAATGGTGTTACTTTTATTGTTTTTAAATGTATGTTTATAGTAATACACTGAAAGTGAGAAATATACTATTCTTTTGGTTTGGTACTAACACATTCCCCTCATACATTTTTTGCCTTTAACTTTCCAAACTCTTGTTGCTGACATTTGTCAAGCAAATCACAGAATACCATAAAGATAAAAATAATTTCCTATGAATGCTATTTGTTTAATGTGTTTGTAGATAATTTCTCATTTTAAGAACAAATCTTGAAACAGTACAGTCAATTAAAATATAAAATATAGATAATAAAAAATTGTATAGTTGAAAACTGAGGGAAAGAAGGAAGAAGTGAAGCCAATATACAGATACTCACGAACACATACATAAATATGAACGAAAGGCATGAGTGAAAAAATAGGTCCAGCAGGCCTCTAAAAGTATAATAAGGAGCAGGGCTGTCAAACTGCTGGCCTGTGGGCCGGATGCGTCATCCGGAAGCTGCGCCTACCCCATTGCCGGCAATGGCAAAACCATCCCGATACGTTGCACGACGTCACAAGTTTTACATGTCTGATATAGAGCCTCATGAATTTTCCAGACTGATAAACACACACATATTTGAATACCTTTACTTTGTTATTTTCTTCTAATGGAACTGGGGCATATGTTTCTAAAATATTTCCAGTGTATGCCCTTGAGGTGTCATGCAATTAATGTATATGGTCATCTTTATATACATTTTATAATACTTCACAAATCAATTCTGTGACATCTGTTAAAAGGTTCTTTGTATCAGACCTGAAATCAAACTAATTATAATGTGTTGGCTATGCCATTGATAGTTATTTAGCTATGGCTGGATTAGAACCTGCTCCTAGATCATAACTTTATTCCACAGAGCTTCTTATATTATTTCAAATGTAGATTTCAGCCTGTTTTTTTAAATCTCAGAGATAGCTTGCTCAGTTTACCTCAATAAAAGCCGTGGACAGTAGACAACCCACCTTATTTTTTGCTGCTTTTGAATTTAGCTTTAACAACATGATAGGTTCTTTCCTTGGCCACAACTTAGATTTAACTGAAGGGAATAAAAATACATATGATATCTTTAAATATCTCTGAGGAGTGTCACTGAAATGTATGGGAAATCTACTTCTAATTTAAGGCCAACTTAGACTACTGTAGTTCCAAAGCTGAAATAGGCACACATTTTTTGCAATCACTTTTAGTACTCTCTTTTGATCAATAACCATGTATTTGCCTGCTGTATGTGGATTCTGTTTATCACTTTGGATTAAGTTGCTGGCATGTACTTCCTTCTTTATGTTTCTTCAAAGTGGTTCTTACATAAAACTTAAAAGGACAAAATTTCTATCAACCTATCAGTTATTTTTATCCGAACTTTAACCAGATGCTCTTAAATAAGATGCCTTGGTCTCTTGACTTAGTAATTTCTAAATAATGTTTGTTTGTTTTTAAAGATAGTGATAGTGCTCTTATATGGTTGTGGTAGGTAGGCCGTTAGGAGGCACAAGGATAATTCATGAGCTGAAATTCAGAAATATGAGCAAATTTGTTGAGTAGTCCAACTAAAAAGCAGTTCTGAGAAAACCTGAGTCTACAATTCCATTCTTTTAGGAATAATCATTCCTGAGAAACCCAAATTGAAAGTGGTTGAGAGAGGACCAAACTTGATCAGGGTTAGGCGAGAACCCAGGAATTTACGTGACATCAGAGGTCCTTCTACAGAAGCCACTGAATTTACTGAAGGAAAATTTGGTATTGTGGTAAGTAAGAATCTTCTTGGTGCAGTTTCATTGTTGTATAAAACAAAAGTATAAGACAACGGCATTTGGAAGTGAAAAAGGAGATCCCCTCTTGCAATTTCAAAAAAGTTATTTAATCATGGTTTTTCTTACTTGAATTATAAAAAAAAAAAATCCCCCTCAACTTTCCTTGGCCTGCAGGCAATGGATGGTGGCTATCTCCGCTGGATTCACTTTGAAATGATGCGTCTGAGTATTAATCGCCACATGAATCCCAAAACAATGTTTGCTGTGTGGAGAGTCCCTGCTCCTTACAAACCCATTACTCGCAAAGGACTAGGACATCGTATGGGCGGTGGCAAAGGTGCAATTGATCACTATGTGACAGCAGTGAAATCGGGTCGCCTCATAGTGGAAATTGGTGGGCACTGTGAGTATGTTGAGGTGAAACACTTCCTAACTCAAGTGTCCAAGAAATTGCCTTTCAAAGCCCATGCAGTCAGCAAGGAAACCCTTCAAGAGATGCGGGACAGAGAAGAGGAGAGGCAGCGTAATAATCAGAATCCATGGACATTTGAGCGCATTATTACTTCCAATATGCTGGGAATACGGAAATATCTGAGCCCCTATGACTTAATGTACAAGGGTCGCTACTTGGGAAAGTTCTACCTGCCTGACAGGGTGTGAATGGAGACTTTAGGAACCTGATCTGCTGCAGCAATTCTTTGAAAACTTTGTCTTTCTCAGCAAAGATATTTCCGGGTGAAGAAACAAGTGGCTATAAATCTGGAAGTCCAGTAAGTATGGAGGATGATGAAGTGGTGATGATGATGTAGAACTTGGGATAAATAAACTCATCATGGAAGCTTGTTACAGTGTTTGATATTTAGACCTTCATCTGACAAATTCTGTATATCTTTGATTTGCGAAATGAGTTGGGACAAAATTCTCAAAATCCAATTTAAATATTTGGATGCCTAATGAGTTTGGTAAAGATACTATCCTCTCATAAGCTGGAGGCATTTTTCCTATGAACCACACAGCTCAACATGCTGGGAATTGTAGAACATTTTTATGGGAATTATTTCCTATTCACAAAATGGCTGCAATCTTTCTCAAAATAAATTTACCAGACAGTAAACCAGTGAAATATTTGCTACCCTTCCAGCATACTCTTTTCTTTGGGTGAGTGTGCATTTCCAAGCAAAGCACTGATTATGGCTGCTCTTCATTTGTAATGGTGTTTAGAAATGACTTGGGAGACAGGCAGAAGGCCTGCAGCCTAGGCAAGAGTCTTCCTCCTGTTTCATAAGGACATTCCCACAGAGCATCACAGCCTTGTGATTTACTACAGTAAAAAACGTCTCTTGGATCAATGTAGTAAAAATGAAGCTGCCATTTGCTGCTGCTACTCTTATGTGTTAATTAAAAGACTAACAAATACTACTACATGGTATAGGCAGCCTTTAATAAAAACTAGGCAATCCATAATCTGTTGGGTCATCGTTTCAGAGATATTTCCTTACCTAGACAAATAGAATGACCAAAGGCAGCAAAGAAAATAAGTGGCGGAAGGAGCGATTTCCAACTTCCTGTCAACTTCCCTAGTTTCTTATGGGACATTAGCAGGAAGCTTGGGAAATCTCCCTCTTTCCTCTTTGTTCCTTCCTTCTTCCCCTCCCTGTCCTTCCTGCCTAATCTCCCTCCTCTTTCTTTCCTCCTCCTTCCTGCCAGCATCCCCATTGACTTAATAAAGAAACAGGTACTATGTGGGGTGGGGAAGGGGTACAAGTGTGCAGCATGGATCAGGAAGAGGACATGAGTGTACACAAGGGATGCTCAGCAGGTTGGGGAGGAGTGGTGCAAGTTGGGAAGGGCACAGGGCTGCATGAGGGCACACAGCTACATGCTACACAGGACAAGGATGCATGAAGGTGCTGCATGGGTTGGGAAATTGTTTAGGGGTGTATGACAGGTGCCAGTTGGTTTAGGGCATGCCATGATACAGCGTGGGTTGGAGAGGGTGCACAAGAGGTGGATGAATCAGGGAGGACATGGGTGAGTGTGGTGTGGATTGAGCAGGGTGTGCAAATGTGTACAGAGGTTGGGGAGCGTGCACAGGATGCAACATGGATCAGGAAAGGGGTGTGAGAGGTTGGTATGGTATGAGCAAAGGAGGGATGGGGAGGTTGCACAGGTGGGGGAACTGTGCCTGAGCATCATACAACCTCTCCTGCGTGCTGCCCTGTTGTTGATACTCTCAGCCAGCATCTTACAAGCAAAGACATAGCTTGCGGGAAGTTGGCAGGGAGTACGGGCAATCAGATTGAGTTTATACTTCTGGCTGGCTTCCCCGTTGACTTGTAGGAAGTTTACAGGGAGCATTGCAAATGACAATAATGTAACTGCAGCTGACTGGCAGCACTAAGTAGCCACAAATTTGCCACATTTCAATCTCGTAGGAGTCATGGGTCCAGGATTTTGTACCCATTCAGTAAGTTAGCCCATTTGAGATATGTTGATTCAAAAATGTTACAAACAAACAAACACAAAAAGTGTTAGTAGTATATAAATTTTTAAAAGTGTGTATTTAGGCCTATCCCTGCTATAAATTTAGATGGAAAAGAAGTTATTGGAGCTGAACTGGGAAGATCCTAGGAGGTTCTAAGACCCAAATTTGTTTTTTTCACATACTACCGTATCTGAGCAATTCCTCGTTGACTTAGTCCATCACACATGATTCTAGATGAAATTAACTTTTTATTCAGGAGGAATAAAACATCTATGCTTTTGGAACAGTAGCAGGATAACTTAAATCTAGAATTACTAGAATAGTTCATTATATAGTTACAAATATCTCCCTTTCCCTATCCAATGATGAATTCATTTCAAAGGGGAAAATAGACGTTTACCCAAATGGAAGCTAAACGGGTATCATTGGACCAGGATAAAATGAATAATACGCTAACCACGCTCACTCATCCTAACCAGGGCCATGATCCAAAGCAATAAATATACATGCTTGAATAAATAAGTTTTAATTCTTTAAATAAAAGACAAACTTTCTCTCCGTATGTAATAAATGTATTAATTCAGTATGTAAAAATATGTTGATACAGTTTATGTCCAAACAAATTTTTATGAACATTAGAGCCTGATCTCCGTTACCAATGGCTGCAGCTTGGGTCAGAATTTACCATCCTACAATTAAATGAGCTAGAAATATATACATATCTGTGACTGGAATCACAAGGTTTACAAAGATTGTTCTGGATATTATTCAAAAAGTGAGAAAATATAGGCCAGATCTTGGTCTAGATATCTAATTTCATATCATTATATGAGAGTCTTAGAAGCAGAAAGTATAGCCAGGGAAAGCCCCTCACATTTCAAAGCAAGGAGGTGCATATAAATTTTGACAGCAAAGATAAGGCAGGGGAATATGTAGATTATTGTCATCTTCCATAAGAATCATTTCAAATATCTGCCAAGAATTTGATTTCAATTCTAAAAAGTTTATACTGGGGTAGAAGGAGCCAGCATAACTGGTAATGAATTCCCATAAAACCTAAGTATTAATGTTGACCAATCAATCAAGATTTAGGTTAGTTGAGGTTGGTTGACTGTTACAAAAAAGACCCCTATGTTCTAATGTTCACTCCCCCGTTCCAAGCTGAAGTTTCTAATCATTGCTTTATTCTGGCTCCTCCTTCCTCTTTTTGTATCTTTCCCCTTTTTGTACCAACTAAGACATTTTGATAGGTTAATCATTGGCTATGACATCTCCAAAAAGTGGAAGAATAGGAGATAAAGGATTGGGGAAGCCTGAAAGGCCAAAATCATCTTACAGGTCCATCCTGAAAAGAAAGAGAAAGAAAAATGAAAAGATACAGAGATCATAAGTCGTGTTTGAATGTATTACCCAATAAAGATCCTAGAAATTAACTATCCTAATATGCAAAGAGTTTCCCTCCTGTTAATTAGAGTATCTTTTATCTTTCCACTTAATTCGGTTTAGGAATATGATATTTAACCCCACTTGCCTAGATTGCACAAACTTAGATGTAGATGTCTGTTTTTCTGTAAACATTTATTGCAGAGAAGTATCAGGTGAAGCATTTTCACAACTAGGCACGTACTAGTCTAGGTGGAAAATAGAAATACAGCCTAATACAAGCCCAATTTGGAGGATCCCAATTGCCCTGGTTAAGATGATAGCACTAAGCTTCTGTATTTGCATACAACTTACCTGAGACAAATGGCAAAGAACAAGGAAGGAGTGTTCACATAAAGAAGCTCCCAACAGTAGAAGCCAGGATAATGATGAGGATGATGCAGCATAACATAATCATTATCTTCTTCTGCTCAGCAAGAGGAAAAAATACCCAGATATATTAACAAACAGGGTGGTGATAGAATTGAAGGGAGAACAGGGCTTATTTTATATGAGTCACATAGTACAGGTAGTCTTCAACTTACAGCCACAATTGGGACCAGGATTTCCATTGCTAAACAATGGAAGTGGGTCACATTTACAACCTTTTTTCCCCACAGGTGTCAAGCAAATCATTGCAGTTGTTAAGTGAATCATGTATTTGTTAAGTGAATCCAGTTTTCCCCACTGGCTTCGCTTGCCAGCGCCTCTCTGGGAAGGTCACAGATGGTGGTCGTGTGATCCTGGGACACTACAACCATCATAAACAACATGCCAGTTGACAGGCATCCGAATTTTCATCGTGTGATTGTGGGCATGCTGCGATGATCATAAGTGTGAGGACTGGTTGTAAGTCACTTTCTTCAGTAACTTTGACCAGTCACTAAACAAATGGTTGTAAGTAAAGGATTACCTGTAATAGTGTGATTTTAGACTGTACAATAGGAAGATTGAGAGACAACACGGAGGAGTTGAAGAAGATACAAGCTATTCTTTCACAGACCCAGATTATATTGCACATTTTCTTCATTGAGTTTTGGTCTCCCCAAGCTCTTTTTATATAACACTATTGGGCCCAGTTCACGTTGGGACTTGTACAATCCAAAGTTGCTTTAGATTAGGGGTCTCCAACCCCCGGTCCGTGGACTGGCACTGGGCTGTGGCATGCCAGAAACCGGTCTGTGCAAACAAAGCCTCATCCACGGGATGCAGGCAGTACATGAAACCACACACCACCCCAGTCCGCAGAAAAACCTCTCTCCACGGAACCGGTCCCTAGTGCTCAAAAGGTTGGGGACCTCTGCTTTAGATGGAAAGGGCACTATCCAAAATGTTACTTCTAGTCGTGCATTCATTTACCAGGACATCTCTCTATAATTACTGGCAGCGAGAGGAAAATATTCAGCTCAGGTTGGTATCCTAAAAATACATAAGGGGAGTACCTCTGTGTTCATACAGTCATTCTTACCACACCTTCCTGCAACCATATGGCAAACAGGATACAGGCCAAAAGAAGCACATGTTCCTCAAAATTAATTGTATGGTGATACCCACTGCTTCAGGAGTTCAGTGGACAGACACGAAAATTACAGACCGATGTTCCAATAATTCATTTATTCATTTCTTTAAAAAGTTTCATCAAAAAACAATTTCCTAGAATCTCTGCTGTCCATAGGCAGCTTAGTATGTTGAAGTGCAGTTTTCTATCTTTACAGATAGCTTTCATAAATGGTCCTTTCACTGCCACCCTCATTTGCAAGTCACAGGCATCAAAGCCAAGAGAGAACACTACGCTTTCTTAGCTCCGTCGGTGTACCCTGAAAATAATGTACATTGTTTATCTACCCACCATGGCTGGACAAACTAAGACTTAAATGGTGGAACTGGTGGAGAAATTGATAGATTTTGCTAGGAATTAGTAGGTAGTCTACTAATCTTCCCAGACAAAATGGGAATCACTTTCTCTTCGGTTCCAATCAAAGGACTATTATGTCTCATGTAATTAATTAGAAAGAAAATGATCTCTATAGAATTTGAATGTGCTGCTGATCTCTAAACCTGCATAAAACACTACTGCCAGAGTCCCCAAATCTGCCATAAAAATGAGTCATCTACAGCCTCACATAAAAAATCAGGTGTAAGCAGAGAATCTGGTTGATTCAAACTCTGAGGTAGATTTCCATGCAGCAAATATACTGATTTTGAAGACAACAACAATTGTTAACTTTTCCCCCAGGGAAAAACCTGGCACTCTTCTGATGATATAACTAGCTTCTCTAAATAAACAAAAATGTACCCTCTCAACTAAAAAAATTCACACATTTTTAAGCAATACACAAACCTTTCCATTTCCATGAGTGATACCACCATAAGAGTGGAACAGGTGTTTTTGAGCAGACCAAAGGGCACACAAGTTTTAATCACAGCAAAATGTTCTCGTGTACAAAAACAAAGATTTTAAAAAATAATGAGAATTTCTATCAGAAAAAATATTAATGCTATAACAGTATTCATAAAAGAAAGCTTTCTCTTTCATCTTTAACAAAACAGAAGGATTTTACCAAGCATATAAATATAAAATATTTTTATAACGAGATTAGATGGTAGATATCGGTCTCAGCTGCCATGCCACATCAACTAAACCCAATGTTTTTATCCAGACCAGTTTTTCTGCCCTACCAACCTTGGTCAGGTTACAAACAGCAAGTTCAGTGATGGGTGCAACATTTATCAACCAGAAACCGTCAGTACAAAATTTAAAATATTAAAACAGAAAAAACCCTTCCACACACACACAATTTCCCTAATCTTCATGTCCTCAGACAGATAGACATCAACACAATTATATATATCAGAAAAAGAGGTATAATTGTGCCTTCAGTATTTGATTTGAAGGAAATTAAACTTTGCTAATAGAGCTGTACAAAAACATGTTGGGTTAAAATGGATTGTTTCAAGTGTACTGGAAATGGTGACATATTCATTTTTGCTTCCAAAGTCAAACAACTTTAGTGCACTCAGAGCAACCACTCAAAACTGGATTATTTCAAACTCAAAATATTTTGCATACACCACTACATACAGCACCTCCGAAATATAATTGCATTCCACAAGTGAAAGGAGCTATCCAGTATGAAGTAATATATATCCCAAGGAGTGTCTTTGTTAATGAGTATTTGAAGACAGGTCTTCCTTCTTACTCAGATCAGTTCTAAGTTCCCAAAATATGGAATATCTGTGGCTATACCAAAACATTTGAGCTGAGTAGTTAATAAAACACAAGCAACTCAGATTTCAAGGGTGTGAGTGCTAATAGTTCACCTCTAATGCAAAACACAGATATTGGCCTGATTTAAAACATGGACTGAACACCTTGGCGATTCTGGAGTCCCTGAATTTTATTTGTTTGCTTAAATCTGTTGCATCTTCCAAGAATGGTTTGACTGACTGCAGACTCATGTTCATAGCTACCCTTAAGTGTTCCTTTCCTCACTTGATGAGGAATCTGGGCCATCATCTCATGTTTTCTGTAAAAAATACAAAATCTGCTCCAGCCTGTGGAGTATAAAATGGGATAAAGATTAGGAGTTACTTAGTGGTTTAAGTCTTAGTTCTAACATGGATTTTTTTGAAAGTAATAATCTGACATCTCCAATAATCTGTACAATATTTTTGAAAGGGTTAAATTACAGCAGTGAGGTAGGCAATAAGGCTCCCCAAATTCCTTTAAGTTCCATTTCCACTGTGTTGTTGATCATTCCACAAGAAATCCTTCAGTTGAAGCCAGCAGGTAAATCAGGAAGGAAAGGAGGAATGGATAAGGAGCAGATCAGACAAGAACTTCTCTCTGGAATGCCATGAGATTTCTGGATTTTCTGGTTGCAGGAAGGTACATTAGGGTCTTCAGGCAATGGAACTGGAACAGTCTGGCTCTCACAGGAAGCCCGAGTGCAAATGCACTCAGCATCATTCATACTTCATCCAAGCAAGGTAGGGAAGGAAAGCACAAACCATGGCATTGAAGTTCAAGAAGGGAAATCTTGCTACTGACTTAGAAGGAGCTTGGGAATGTCTGGAAGATGGAAAGGAACAAAATGGGAAAAGTTAGGCCTCAAAAAGGAAAGAGCAGCCCACTTTATTGTAGTCATATATCAATATATGAAACTCCTATAGTATGCTAGATCATGATGGAAATCATCCCCTTATCTAACTTTCAGTATGCTTAATGAGTTAAAATTCTATTTTTTTTCCACAATGGCCTTCCTTATTTGCCCTTAAGCTTTAATCTACAAAAAGGCAACGGGAGATACTAGAGAAAACCATCATCTTTGAGGTATAACAAAAAGTTACACTCTGAATGAGGTGCTCAAAGAACAATGGTGAGGGGAAGTGATGGGACTAATATGGGAAAACACAGCTGATATATTATCAGGGACCTATATTATCATGGGAAAATTTCACAGATTAACCAAACATAAACAATCAACCAATTTCTACCCTTGTAATTTTACCAGAGGACCAAGCAGTACTGTTAATGCCATTCTCAAATACAATTTATTCCTGTGAAAGAATATACAATAGATGCCTATTCAGAAAGTATACATCATATTTGAGGAAAACTCAAACTCCTCCAGATTATCAAACATTTGCAAGGTTTATTTTAAGAGTAGTTGACCAAGCCATGGTGACCTGGTTTATGTATAATGATGTTATAACATTATTTGTTAAAAGAACAATGGCAGAGAGGGCATGTGGTACAAAGCCGAAACCACACAAATAATATTGTGGCTTAGTTTGATACATGAAGCAAGTCATTCTTTTCTACTACTTTCCAGTTATGGGAAGCCAAAATTCAGAAGCATATGTAAAATTGCAAATTGGACACCCTTGTCCCACACATTGTGGAAAGACTCATATTGGATTATATGCAGTTCTTTTTATAAACCAAAGGTACATTTGGGTACTGTGAGTAAACAAACCAATCAACCCTGACCCCAAGTATTATGATCTTCAGACTGAGAGGAAAACATTAAAACTCTTTGCTGACAATGACAGATTAAAGTAATCCTGAAAAACCAGTCAAGAACTGAAAGAATAATTCAACTTCCCAGGCTACTTACGATTCAGTGCCAGAAACCCAGCTGGTTACTTTTATTTCAGTCCGACTGAAAGTCCAATAATGAGAGCTAAAATTCCCAGCAAGACTACTATTATCACAATGATAATTATTGTTTTCTAGAAGGGTGAAAAAAAAGGAACATTTAACCACAGTGTGCCAACAAATGGGAAGAAAGTTTTGAGCAAATTGGATGAATAGCATTACAGCCCAAAAAATAGAAAGTGCCCCTTCTGAGATGTTTATCACGTCTCCATTTCTTCTACAAGGCTAGGCTGCCTGTTATCCAACAGTTCCCCTTGCTGTGGATTTTCCTCCTGTCTCTCAAGTCATTTCCATATACCATTGCAGGACTGATACTTGCAAATTCTATGATTTAGTGGAATTGATCATCTATATGCATAATCAACAAATGATCCAATCACCACTGACTATGTTGCCAAATATATACACACTCAGTTCTATTCAACAGAAGTAAGTAATCATGTAAGTAAAAGTTCAAAGGATAAGTTACATTGTGATAAATGAGAATGTGCAAATGAACAAATAGTGACATTGGCTTTAGAAACCTCCATCCAACTATTCAGTTTTTAGAATAGAATGGATCATCAGAGCCAACCAGAAGACAATCCCTGGTGTATGAGACTGATTTTATTTTAAATTCTTAGGCTGGTTTCAGAAAGATCAGGGTGATAGGGAACAGGATGGAAGCTTCATTTGGACTTGGTGGCTTCTGTTTATATTAGTAAAGCAGACTAAAAGTTCTAAATTGGATCATTTTTCCAATCCAGTAGAATTTTGGGAAGAATTAGTGTAAATAGATGCTGGACTCTGTCAGCAGGATAATTTTGAAAGCTGAACAGATTGGGATTGAATTTGATATGGTGAGAGAAAGCAGATAAAGTTTCTAAAAATAGGCTGGATCTGGCCAGGACCTGCTGAGAAAAATATTCCAGAAAAATTTCCCTAATATTGTCTAATGAGAGAAGCAGCTGGGCAGTGTCTAGGAACATTGCTGACAGCTCAGTTCTGAGTCTCCCCTTTGAATGTCCCCTTCCTCCTGATCCTGTGGCCCAGAGCAACACTATTATTAAGCTGTGGAAAAGGATTCCAGGAACCATGATCTCTGTGCCCTCCTTATCTTGTTTGTAAGACAGGGCTACTTGTAAGATATATGGTCCTCGTTTCAATACGAAGTTTGCCGTAGATATTACATGCAGCCATGCAAACACATAGCCAAGGATACAATATAACACAGATCCAGTCTGCATTTAAAATGGGATTTGCAGTCCAAACCTGAACATCTGAATCAGAAATGTGCTGTTAATTAAAGTAGGACTTTGGAATCAAAAGAAAAAAGATGGTCTGGTGTGCATATGACTGTGCACCATTCATCAATTCCTTAAAGTAGTTTTGTTTCCTGGGATCATTTAAAGAGTCACCCACAGGTGCTACTTGCATGCTTATGTGTGCTCCTAAACTCCCATTTTCCTTAGAACTCAATTCTCTTCACAGCCTGGTAACCAATAACCCAATGTGGATTATTTCTTTAGCCAACTACCAAAGCCATAATGAGGATCCTTTCCTCAGCCAGCAGTGCGCCTGTAATTGTCAATTTAGAGTTTCATTTTTCCAAGTTCAGTTTTACAAATCTGGACAAATCTGCTTTAATGTTCTTTCTGTATAAAAGTACTAGCAGGGCATAATTTCAGTCTTAATTTATGTTATACACTGCATTGTAAATGCAAAAAGCTGTAATTCTCAGGCTTTCTTGTGCCACATCCCCCAAACCAGCTAATTTTTTCATCATGAAAACATTTTGTTCTTTAACATAGTTTTTTATTTATCACAAGCCTTTCAGAACCATGTATTTGAGAGAAGCAGCCATAAAAATTGAAATAAAATGACACACTGTTCTGTGACACTACACTGAACAATGAGTTTCAACTATTTTCAGTTTCTGGCTTTCTTACAGCAGGAAGCGAAAACTACAGTAGAACCAAGCTAGTTCTCCTTGCCATTTACAACTAAGCAGACCTCATCCTTTACCAATTGCAGAACTTTCAATATATTCTATTTATCGACTCCCAAGTCAAAAGCACTCTTAGGTGACTGAACCTCTGCCTACCATATATTATTAAAGTTGAGGGAGAATTTTACTAAAAGTTGGATTTTTGACAGTCATGTGCTATACCCTCTATATAGTTTACCAAAACTAGCAGGGATAAGCCTTCACATAAACCACAATAACAGAATGGAAAGACAACTTAAAGCAGAAGTAGAAGATATTCGTGGTAGTGCTTGAGAGAAGTTCAAGCCTCACATACTTCAAAGTCATTTAAAATATTTTAAAAAGAGCTGTGAAAGAAGAGATCTTCTTCATGTTGAAGGGAAGGAACATAAGATGACCACTCATGAAACAAAGCAGTGCTTAGCAAAATAATAACATTTATTGACAACATGGATGGGTTTTGAAGTGGCTGCAGGGTAGGCTGAGGAACAGAAAGAGCAGGAACAAAAAACTGGGTCTGAATCTAAAAACACATAGCTGACAGAAAGACATCTGCTGTTTAATAAACACTGGGACTAGGGTCTAAAGCAGGAGAAATGGGGCTGGGTTCCTGTAATTCTTCTCACCCTTCGTGCTTCACTCTGAAATTTTACAGCCTTTTTGGTGTCAGCAACAGCCCTCTCCACAAAGCCTACTGACTGGTCCATATTACTCTCTATGCGGTCAATCATGGCTCCCTTGAAGAGGAAGAAGATGGCAGAAGCCAAAGAAAGAGGCAGAAACAAAAAGTGTAAACTGGCAAAGTGGCTGAGAGCGCCAAGCTGGAGGTCTATAGGAGAGGCTCACCTTGCGTGCCTTACTCTTATATTTTAAAGCCTTCTTGGTTTCCTCACGTGCTTTCTCTATGTGGTCCATGGTGTGCATCATGTTGAGTTCTATATTATCTACAATTTCACCCTGTGAAGTTTTAAAAAGGGAAAGAGAAGGAATGTGAACATGCTAGAAAGTTTTGTGGAGAAGGACTGCGAATATTACCCACAGCTTCCCAAACATCCTGCCTCTCTTGAATTTCTTTCTCATCCAGCCATCCTTCCATAGCAGAGCTATGCTCTCTCTCCCCAAATGCCAATTCTTCATCTTAGCGAGGTGCCTCTCTGAGTAAGAATTTGTTTCAGATCCAAGGACTTTCAGCTACAATAATCAAGCATAAATTCCCTTACATTCTCTGCCTCCCTCCCAAACTAGGTTTGTGGTCTAAAAATATACTCACCATAAACTGACTTGATTGCCATCTCCTCAGCAATGCATTGTGAGCAAAAAACAAGAAAAGACCCTTAAAGACTGGCATCAAAGTCTAAATACTATTAAGCAGACTTCTTCTCACCCATAACTGATTCTAACAAGGATTATATTAGTCATCATCACCATCATGTGAAATAGGAAAGAGGCTTTTGAAAAAAAAAATCAAACTATAGATGGAATAGTGCAATGCAGCAAGCAAAAGTGTAGATAAATCTTACCTCTGATACATAAGTTATCTCAGCTATGTTTCTAGTCTCCCATTATATTGTATATGCACAGCCAGCCAATCCATCATGCACATCAATAAGCCACAAACTTTTATAGTATCAGCTTTAACATTCAAAGCCATGCTTAAATAAATTCAAGCGGATCTGTTCCGTCACATTAAAAATGGAAAGTATTCAAGTTTTAAATTTGCCTTCTCTAGTGTCTTTACGGCTGTAATTAACAGAATAACAAGAGTTGGAAGGGACCTTGGAGGTCTTCTAGTCCAACCCCCTGCTCAGGCAGGAAACCCTATACAAATGGCTGTCCAATCTTTTCTTAAAAACTTCCAGTGTTGGAGTGTTAATTAGAATTATATGATTCCAAAAGCATACTTAAACTTACCTTAATTGGATCTTATCTACTATTTTGCCATCTATTCACTCAATTTCAAGCTATTTCTTTTTTCAGTCAATTTGTGTCCCAGTTTTTGTCTAGAACTTCAGGAAGGAGTAACTTCTTCTCTTTTATCTCTGTAACCCCATGTATAATGGATTAGGCCAGTGTTTCTCAGCCTTGGGAACTTTACAGTATGTAGACTTTAATTTCCAGAGTTCCCTACCCAGCATGTTGCTTAAAGTGGCCAAGATTGAGAAATTGGGTGAGACTGAGAGATAATGACTAGCCCCAAATTACTAATGGGCTTCGGTGGCTGACTGAGTAACTGAAGCAGGTCTCCCTGGCTTAGACCAACATTACCCCCACTGGATACCTTCTTAATTCCTTATATTCTGAACAGTCTGCTTTGGATTTCAGTATCCCATGCTTAAGCCCTCCCTTATTTTATGTTAACAGTGCCATTGAATGCCTCTTTATTCCCAAGCCCCTAGAGCAGTGGTTCTCAACCTGTGGGTCAGGACCCCATTTGGGGTCGAACGACCATTTCAGGGGGGTCGCCAAACAAGGCTGTCTGCCATTTTTTTCCCCTTTTCTTTGGCCACGCCCCTGGCACCCAGTGATGTATAAGTGGTTGGGGGTCACCACAACATGGGGAACTGTATTATGGGGTCGCGGCATTAGAAAGGTTGAGAACCACTGTCCTAGAGTATTATAAAAAGCCTTAGCCTTATTTGGGGAACACACATTGCTTTTTATATTCATATTTTGCTTCATCTGGAAACGATAATGCCAGCTGAATTTTTTTTGTTTGTTTTTCCAAGCAGCAAAGAAAATGACAGATCTGGAGCACTGGCAATATGACAAGACCTTGAGGTGGACTGATAGGAAATGTACTCGTTGTCCTCTCCCTTTCCTGTTTCTTTGCAAGGATCTATCATTTCAGTCCCTAAGACAGTGATGGCAAACCTTTTAGAGACCGAGTACCCAAACTGCAACCCAAAACCCACTTCTGCATCATCGAATGCCGGGTGGGTGTGGCCCATTGGGTGGGTGTGGCCCATTGGGTGGGCGTGGCCCATTGGGTGGGCATGGCCCATTGGGTGGGCGTGGCTGCCGTGGTAACCGCAGACTGGGTGGGACTAAAAGGTTCAATCAATCAATTCCAACTTTGCAAGATCTTATTTTTTCCCGCGAGAAGTTGAAATTGACTGATTGATTGAACCTTTTTTTTTTTTTTTTGCACACAGCAGTGGAGGCCTAAAGTGAAAAGGTTTTATAAAACCCAGCTGAAGGCCTAGGACTGGGCGATGGTGTGCGTGCTCACAGAGAGGGCTCCAAGTGCCACCTCTGGCACCCGTGCCATAGGTTCGTCACTACTGCCCTAAGATGTTATTTTTTCTGAAACAAGAGCTCTTTTAATTTTCTTGGCTATTTTTCCAGCATCCTTCCACCAAGGTTCAGTTACCTGATTTTCTACCAGCATGGCAATGTCCACAAACATGTCATGAAGCTCCTTGATGCTATTCTCAAGTCGCAGAATGTCTTTATGTCGTCCCTCAATTTCACTCAGCGCTTGCTTCGAGATCTGGGAATCCATGATCTAGGGAAGATCCAGAGACCATTGCATGGAAGAAATGCCTTTTCTGCAATGATCCTAAACAATATTTAGGATATACTTTCTTTTGCCCCGTTTAGCTTCTTCCTTCTGAGATATACAGGTGGTCCTCAACTTAAACCACAATTGTTCCCAAAATTTATGTTGCTAAGTGAGACATTTGTTAAGTGAGTTTTGCCCCATTTTAGGACCTTTCTTGTCACAGTTGGTAAGTGAATCATTGCAATTGTTAAGTTAGTAACACGGTTGTTAAGTGAGTCTGGTTTACCCACTGACTTTGTTTATCCGATCGTCACAAAAGATGCTCTCATGATCTCAGGACACTGCAACCATCATAAACACGAGTCAGTTGCCAAGCATCTGAATTTTGATCACGTGATCATGGGGATGCTGCAATGGTCGTAAGTGTGGAAAACAGCCCTATGTCACTATTTTCAGCCACTAGAGCAAGCATGTCAAACTCGCAACGTCACGTGATGTGCGACCTATCGCGACTTTTCCCCCAGTGCCGGCAATGGGGTGGACACGGTTTCGGAGTGATACATCCGGCCCGCAGGCCGGCAGTTTGACATGCCTACACTAGATGAACTGTTGTAAGTCGAGGACTACCTGTATATATATTTTTCACTTTCACTTCCCATCCAACTCATTCATTCTTCTATTGCTACAATCAATACCACTCAACACCATTAGGGGGAAAAAACTCCAAACCATCCTTCTTGCAAACCACCAGCATTTCCTGGCATTTAGGATCATAACATTCTTTCTTATGAACACCCCCTCTGCCTCCAGCCTGCTTCACATACACACTTACCCCAGAGGTGAATATTGATGGATTTCCACTCTCTAACATTTCCTCTAGTTCTTCATCTGTTGTATTTTTTCCAGCTGTATCCCAAGGGAAAGAGAGAAAACCAGAATGTCAACTGTTATACTATGAATGAACATGTTCATGCCCATTGTAAGAATTAATACGCAGTAGGCAGGAGGAAATATAATGCTTAACTGCACTAATGACATATAAACAGTCATTATTCTGTTGTAATTTGTTGTTCCATAAAAGCATATCCCAAGTGTATAAAATGAAAATAATAAAAAAAAGAAAATTGGGTAAAATATTAACTTTAATGTGAGGAATAATGTGATTATCATACATCTGGTAGTTTAGAGAAAGCACACAAGTTTCAATGAAAACGCATTTTGTGTAAACAGAATGGAAGATTGGTAAATGAATGCAAAAGGATATATGTGATGAAAATAAAGCACATATGAAAATACACAGAAGGCTTGGCAAATGGTTCAGCACTGAGCAAGAAGACAGCCAAGAATGTGTGCTGTCGCCTAGTTAATTGAATGTCTTTATGGGCAAATATTTTTGATGCTGTCAAGAGGTGTCTTGCTTGAGAGCATGAATGGAGATGTATGTTACTATGTACAGGTAGGCCTCAAAGTACAATCACCATCGGGACTCAGAATTTCCATTGCTAAGCAAGGTGATTGTTAAGTGAATTGCACTTTATTTTATGACCTTTTTTGTCATGGCTGATAAGTGAATTACTGCAGTTAAGTATGTTTTGTATGTTTTCATTATGTGAATCTGGTTTCCCCCGTTATCTTTGCTTGTCAAAAGCCAGCTAGGAAGGTTGCGGATGGCAATCATGCGATCTTGGGATGTTGCAACCATCATAAATACATGCCACACACCCGAATTTTAATTACGTGACAGTGGAATGATGATAGCCACCCAGAGTCCCCTCCAGGGGAGATCAGTGGCATAGAAATTTAATAAATAAATAAAATGATGCAACGGTTATAAATGAAAGGACCAATCATAAGTCATTTTTTCAATGCCGTTGTAGCTTCAAATGGTCACCAAAAGAATGGTTATAAATTGAGGACTCCCTGTACATGCTGCCATCGTTTGGGTTACAAACCCAAATGACTTTCAGGAAATGTTAGATTGTATGATACAAAAAGGAGCAGGAATCTAAAAATAAATGCACTAAAGACAAAGCCCCATAGCTTCTCTCCATAATGATCTGTCCTTAATCCAGACCTTCAGTCTTCCAGTTGTGCACCTGTTGCTACTATAACTGAATCTCTCCACTTTCCTGGTTTACATAATATACTGATACTATCAAGTCAACATCTTGAGGATTTCAATTTTCATTTTAAAGCTATTCCTACTTCTTAAGGCCCAAAAGGGTAGAGTAGGTTTAAAATGGGAGTAATGGCCAACTGATTTTCAAAAATCAGCCGCTTAGCATGGAGGTAACTAATTTAAGTACTGAGATGAAGTTTGCATGGCATTCTCTTGCTGATACCTGTCCAGCCATATTGAAATGAGTATCAAAATTCAGTGCCATTCAAATGTCATGACAGATGAAGGACCAATATCAAATTAATGGCGCAGAGCCATTTTCTCAACTTGGAGAGCAAATGGGATGTATTTTGACTCCCGTGACTGGAAACATCATAAGGAGAGTTCAACAACAAGATTCTAGAAGATCCCAAGTCCATGTTATGCCTCTATCAGAAGAGTTCCATTTTTAAAAACAAGGCAGAATCATTTCTCTTCCAATCTTTCAAGATCCTACATTACTCAGGTGATATCTAAGGGAAACAGAAAAAGCCTTACTGATCTCAAGCTGCCGTTGGATCCTCCCTTTACTCCGTTCCCGGAAGTCAACCTGTGCCTCATTGTATTTAGTCATCACCTCCACAAATTTTCGGGAAAGAACTGAATGCTGATAAGAAAAATAAGTCATGCTTCAGAGACCCTGGCTTTCATTCCATTTCAAATAAAATCTACAGCCTTTGCTTTGTTTTTTGTTTTTTTTTTGGTAAATGACAATTTAAATATGCCTTAATTTGTGTCTAAAATAGTTACTAAATACTGTATCTTCTAGCTAATTTATTTTTTCCTTTTCCTTTTATTTTGAAAAACATGAAAAACCCATTACTTCTGTTTGTTCCCCAAAATTATTTTCCAGGTATTTAAAATCATCATATTTTTGTCAAAGCATTAAAAACAGCTCTAATTCCGCAGTCCTTCAACATTAAAAAATATTTTGTATCTAGTAATTCACCTGCTACGTTTAAATTATCATATTACTTCCCTTTTAATTAAAGCTGGGTTTCAGTGCTTAATTTGGTCATTGGAACAGTTAAGCCTTAGAGCAGGGGTAGGCAACCTTGGCTCTTTTATGACTCGTGGACTGCTGAGCCTGCCATGAGTCCACGAGTCATAAAAGAGCCAAGGTTGCCTACCCCTGCCCTAAACCTTCTCATAATTGGAATCAGGGTTATATACATGAGCAGATAAAGGCTTCAGCACTAGCAATTCACCACTGCTGCATCAAAAAATATGGCTCTGTTTCACCTATATCATTCTGTATCATTCATTTATCCCTTGCTAACAGCTGGTGAAGTCATTTTAATCCAACCACCATGGAGCTCCACTTACCTGGGACTTCCGTATCCGCAAATCAGCTGATGATCGAGCCGCATCCTGCTCAATATTCTGCTCCATACCTATGCAGCCAAGAAAAATGAGGAGGTATCACAGTCTGAAAAGAACACTGGCTATATTCTGCAGAGTTAACCCCTTCTTTGGGTTGTATCTGTTCACACTTTGCTTGTTATGACCTGCTTCACAGGGATTTAAAACTAATCTAAAAAAGGGAATTCTTTTAGAAAGTTTATAATTTTATCTAAATTGTTTTCATGGTTGCATCCCCAGGTTGGAGTTGTTTTATCAATGAGAAGTGATTAGAAACTTTAACCATAGTTTAAAGATATCTAGATAGGGATATAAGCATGGATTAAAAATCGCTCTCTTTGTGCCATATAAATACACATTCAGTTTTTCAACAGATCTAATTGCAGAAGAAAAGGCAAAGAAAAGCTTAAGAAAAAAATTATTAATTTTAGAATAGACACTAGTACGGTATTGTACTATAGTGTAAACTGACAGAATTTATGGTATTTCAAAACAAAGGAAACAAAATGCTGAGCTAAACTGGGAAGAATAAAAGCTCTTCAATATGACTTCTAGTACTATATTCTTGTGAATCTTAAGTCACTTGTTAGCATTTGGAGTGGTAGGTTGTTCAGGTAGGAAGAACAAATCTAATTGTGATTTCTTAGCTTTGAGCATGGATTTGATTTTGGTACTTAAAGGGAACAGTGCCCTCCCTTCATGTAATGGCTACAAAACTTTTCCTGAAGGTGGACATCCTTCACTGTTATTGGCTTTCAGCTCCACACATGTGGAGGGCAGAGAGACTGGGGAAGATGTCTATGGAATTCATTATATGCTCACAGGATTCACATCTGGCATGTAAAGGCAGCTAAGCAAGCAACAAACATTTAAGCAACACAAATAAAATTTGGTGATTGTTTAAGCAATACAAATAAAACAAACCCAGCCTCTTCCAGGAAGAGGTCTCTTACTTTTAAGTTTGTTTCGAACAGCATTGGCCGTTTTCTTGATTTCTGCTGTCAGCTGCTCCAGGTCATCCTTTGTCTCTACAGAACACAAATAGATTTCTTCTAATACTAGTAGGAGAATAGCAGTAAAGATCCTTTCTCCATTGCACCACACACAACACATGCACACACACACACACACACACACACACACACCAGTCTAGATGAATCCATTTAAGGCGGCAAAGAATTTAGCTTTTTCCAGAAGCTGCAACCATCTTTCTACTTTTACCTGACACAAGAGATAATGTTTAGAGAACATTGGGGAGAAGGATTTAGGCTCAGAATTTTCAAAACACTGCATGTCTGAAAACATTGCATCCTACTCACTTGGTTCAGGGATAGGAGCAGACAGGATAATGCTGTACAGTTTCTTTGCCTCATCTACGTTCTTTGAAATTTTGTCAATATTCTGCCGAGTCTCTTCAATCTGCAAATTATGAAAAGATGCTGAGAAAGAATCACTGCCACAGGCCAAGAAGGGAAGACCAAATTCCGTTGTCAGTTGAAGGCTCAAAGCTCATTTTCATTACAGGGATTCATACAGAAACAGCAATAGCAGCAGCAATGACCATCATGCAAGTGGCGGGAAGTGCTTTCTTATCATTGGAGGCAATTGTACGATGTTCTTGCCTCATTCTGCAGGCAGTGATTTGAAGGGTAAATTTTACAAAACAAGGCAGACCTTTCCCCTTCTTCTGCATCAAGCAAAAGTGCAATTCTTCTATTTACTCCCACCATCCCAGCTACAAGCTTGGGGGGGGAAATCAATATTCAGTCAAAGTATTCTATTATTTTCAGCAATGTCAGTAAAAGTGTGAGCTTTGCTTCTGGTTCGTACAAATGAAAGATGCTCTCTTATAAGGTATTTTGATCTATCAGTAGAATCAGTTTCCCAGATGGCCAATCTATACATATATATGCTCTAGGGACTGATCTTTTACTCCACACTCATATATACAAATGGCATATATGTTTAAAAGCAATATTTTTAAGATTATGTTTACATTCACTCTTTATGGCTTCATGAACACTAATGCAGAATTCAGATCTATGCTCTTTGTTGCTCCTAGCCTCACAACAGTTTGCCTCACTCTATCGTTATAATTATTATTATCCTCAACAACTATTCAACTACCCTAACCCTAACTTTTTGTCATAGGTAACTGCAGACCTAGTATTAGCAGTTGATATGATGGGGAAAATGGTGTTCATGGACCATGAGCCCCCACCAGTAACTCTTTTTTAAGCTTAAATCTTTTTTAGACCAAACCAGACATAGTCATTTTTTTGTAAAGATTCCAGGTTCATCTTTTTATTTCATAGGCACTGGAAATAAGGAAGGTAACAGCAGCAGTGTCTATAGTTTGTTTTGCCCAGTATCTCCTTTTTAAATACAGGACTAAAGAAAATAGCAAGTGATGGAAGTTGCACTGCTTCCTTTATTGCTCCCTGCCCCCTTTCTCTGTCTGTCTGCCCCTTGCTGATCTTTCAAGAAGCCCACAGCAAGGAAACGTAAGAGGGCTATTGAGCATACATTGTCCAAAGCCTCCCATTTAGCAAAATAAAAAATGAGATGGGAATCAGGAGCATTCTACCAATTCTGATTAAAATAAAATAGCTCTCCCAAGGCTCGTCTTCCTGAATAACCAGCAGGACATTATATAAGACCTGCAATTGAAATTTAAGAATTGGTGTCCAAGTTCAATTCTCTCTTTAATTTTTCTCCCAGGCTATGGATAGGTTGATGGAAAGGGCATTACACTCTCTCTGACTCTCGCTACATTAAATGTATGGACTCCACTCTGGAGACTTTTGGCAAAAAAAAACCAGGATAAACATGTTATAAAGGGAAAAAATGAATCTGGCCTTTGCCCAGTGTGCTAAAGAAGCTGGAACTGGCCACCTCTGTTTCAATCAGGACTGCTGGAACTGAGCAATCATTTGCTCAGTGAGATTGTACCACCAACATTCAGTGGCAAAATGGCTACTAGGCTATCCAAATAATGTTAAATATTTTCCCCCCAAAATTAGCAGTAGAAATTGGAGGAAGAACTCTCTGAGAGTCAAAATGTTTACATCCCCACCCTTAAAAATTCATAAACTGCTTTCCAAGCTGGGGGGAAAAAGGCAATTTGAGGGCCAGATTGGCAATGACTTTTTGTGGGCCCTGGAAGATTAAGTGGGTAAGTTGCAGCCCATGGTTCCTCCGACATTACTCTATTTGAATCTCTTAAGTTTTTACATCTCTTCCAGTAAGAGCTTTCACAGCAAATTAAATAGATCTCACAATGTTCCACACTTTTATTATTCTGAAGCCCCAGCTTTAATTTCAGAGCTACTTTTTCTTTTCTCGGCAATGTTTACCTCTGAAAAGAATTCATCCATGAAAGCAGTATTGTCAATAGCAATTTCCAATTCATCTTCAGCTTCATCCTGCTTCTGCAAAGAGAGAAATACAGTAACACCAATTAGAATCATATGGTTCTTGATTTCCTAAATCTGGCCTGGTGAAGGAAAAATGCAGAATCTATATTGAAAATATTCACATTGACAGAATGACAATAATCAAATATATTAATTTTCTTAAGTCACACAAAGATGTGCAAGTTGGTCCACTTAGTGAAAATATAATAAAAAGACAATGAAGCAGCTCCCAGTGTGAGTTATGCCTGACTGACCACAAGTGGAGGTGACGACTACCATGAAGAAGAAAAGATCAGCAAGTAGACCAGTCCATTAAATCTCTGGAGAAAGAGAGATTTGGGAGATTCTCACAGGTGCTCTGAATGGCAACGCCTCATGAGGAGATCATGAAACAGTCTCCTGCAGGTATCAGCACTAGAAGTTAGGGGAGACAACATCTCCACAGTGGTGGGGCCTTTCATAAGGATATAAAGCCAGCCAACTCACTTTCTAAATACATTTAGAAATGTTCAATTTAACCACGTTATGGATATTAGAGACCTTCAAAACAGCAAGCTTAATTTGACACACAGTGAGTTTTACTTTCTTCAGAATTAAGAAATTTTAAGCAGAGACTTAAGAATTTAAAATAATATGCAATTAGCCAAAGGCAAAAAAGAAGTTTTGATTTAAGAAAGTTTTAAACAGATTGGGAGTTCAGAGAGATTTGGAATATTGGTTATTTTTGCTGTAAGACTTGCAAAGCAAATATATAACTACTAAATAATAAACTCTTGGACTGAAATGGCATTAAAGCCTGTTAGAAACTGAAGTTTTATGAATATTGCAAATGGACACTAGAGGGAACTAAAGAACCAGGCAAAAAAGAATTAAAATGACTAAGCTGGCTACAGTATAACTTTGTTTTATTTTTAAAAAGTTTTTTTAAATTGGACTGAAATATTAATAACTAAGATCTCAGAAAGAATAGAGATTTCAATGGATAAACTTTTAGCACATGGTGAGAAAACTTTTAAATTTTTTACCTGACATAGACATTGTAGAGTTTGAAGGTATGGAAGACAGCAAAACTGAAATTACTAAAATGGGAATACAAAAGCCAAATCAAGAAAAGGACCTTGACATGAACAGCTGTAACAAAAAATTCTGGATGAAGCCTCTTTATGGGATTTACAAAGTAATCTGATAGAAGCTTTGAAAACTCCTTTTAAATGCTAAAGAATGATGAAAGATCAAATCCTGGATGTCACAGAAATAATTTAAAGGTCAAGATTGTGCAAAGCAAAAAGAAGGAATATGAAGTTTGATTATTTGATCAGAGATAAACCATTTGATATTTCTGGTGACTCCTAATTGTTTTTTTGCTGAACTAGAATTAAAAAGATGATGATTTCTAAATTATATATAGATAAAAATCTATGGGGAGAAAATATTTTTTTATTTGTTGCTTCAAAAGAGGATTAAAAAATTAGTATATTAGCTTATGCTCAGTGTGATGAAGGTTAGAAGCCATTTATTTATTATTTTCTTTGTTGCTTTTTTCTTTTCTACGTTTTTCTTTTTTTCTGTACTTTTCCTTTTCTCTTTTCTTCTAGTTTAGTTTGTATTAGTTTTTAGTGTGCTTATTAAATGTGTCAATAAATTAACAAAAAACGAAAAGACAATAAACCTAGAGAGAAATGGCACAGACCTTGCATTAAATCTGCCATCACTTTGCCACTCATATCAAAACCAGAGACAGTTGACAGAAACAGAGTTCAGTTCTACGCTAATAATGATGATGATGATGTTGGAAGGGACCTTGGAGGTCAGCTAGTCCAACCCCCTGCTCAGGCAGAAAACCTATACCATTTCAGACAAATGGCTGTCCAGTCTCTTAAAAACTTCCAGTGTTGGGGCATTCACAGCTTCTGGAGGCAGGTTGTTCCACTGGTTAATTGTTCTAACTGAATTACAGTAACTTCATAGCATTAGCCAACCATGATTTAAGGGATATAACGCCTACCTGGATTATTGTTATTGTAGTTATCCTTTATTGTGGCTTTCATTTACTTTTTGGAAACATGCACACAAAAACCAATGATCAATTGGGGAAAAGGGTTCATGTGTTTTTAATCTGCTCAATTAAGAAATTTAAACAACCGTGAAAGGGCCATTTACAGGAAAGTCTTTTGTTTTGTTTTGAGAGATTTTTGCACAGAGCAGTATCTCAAGTCCACACTTTTTGATATTCAGATATCAAGTTTTGATAAAGACAAAATTGGGCATTTCCATCTGAACACATTTTCTCCTTTTACAGAATTAGTCTCCATATGTTTTTTTTTTCCAATCCTCCAACTTTGCATTTTGCATTCTAAGAGGGGAAAAAACCAAATGCTAAAAACACAATTTCTTACAGTTCATCCACAAGTACTTTGAGACCAGGTTTTTCATTAGCTAAAATTAGAGAAGATAGATCACATATGGCATTATTTATTTTCGACATTAACATAGTATCATCTCACTACAATACACTATGGCTTACATACATTCAAAACACCCTTGAACATTCACATTTAACTATTCAGAGAGAAAAAAAATAAGTGAATAAAAATAAGGTGACCAACTTTTTTACAACAAAAAGGAGGACACGAATAAATTGAAGAAAAAAATATCGTAAATAAAAGAAACATTGTATATATTGCAACAATAATACAGAATACACTATAATATGATCAATGCATAATAAAAAACATTTGTAACAATAACATTTTATACTGTAATTATGCTTACATGCCTATTAATTATTAAAATGAGTACTTTTCCATTGAATGAATATTTTTTGTCAATGTATCATCTTCTAACAATATATTGGAAATATCCGAACAAGAAATATCCTTCATATTGAATTTTAGGGCAAGTGCTTCAGCTAGAGTATCAACATTCAATCTCGATTTCTCAGTTGTCCAAAAATCTACACGACTGGACTGCGCGGGGGTGGGCGGCGGAGGCAGGTGTTGTGAGCCAGGCGCTCCAGGATGGTCACGTAGATGCGCAGGGCGAGGTGGTGGCAGCGCAGGTCAGCATTGTGTAGACCACCAGCTGGCACGGCCCATGGAAGGTCAACCGCCCATTGCACCCCCGCCCACAGCCGCCCCGCCAGCACCGCTGCCCTGCCGTGGAGAGCTGGCCCCGCGGCTCGCAAAGCACCAGCCGAGCCAGCTCCGGCCCTGAGCCGGCCCCCCAGCACCACCGCCCACCCTGCGCATCCCCGTAGAGCCTGCCCCACGGCTCGCAAAGGCAAAGCACCAGCTGCTCCGGCTCCGGCCCTGCAGCTGTCCCCCCAGCCACCCCCCAGCACCACTGCCCACCCTGCGCATCCCCGTAGAGCTGGCCCCGCGGCTCACAAAGCACCCGCCACGCTGGCTCTGGCCCTGCAGCCACCCCCCAGCACTACCGCCTACCCTGTGCATCCCCGTGTAGAACCGAACAGGGAAGATCAAGAGAAACTTACCGCTCCAGTCTCCTCCAGCTATCTGTGGAACTAAGTAAGAGATGGTGTAATTGGGTAGCAGTGAGGGGTGCAAAGTTCCTGCAACTTGCACGTGCAAAGTTTGCCACCTGGGTGTTTTGGCGCACTCAGCAGCAATTCCTATTGGCTTTCGAAAGCCAATAGGGGGAGTAGCACAGCTCAGGCAAAAGTTGAAAAAAACCATCAAAAAAAGGTCCCGGAATGCCTTCTGGGCGTTCTATGAGGAAAAAAAAAGCCCTGCAGATAAGTCTTCAAATATAGAAAAAGAGGACATTTAGGAGGACATTTTCGAAGGAAGACAGAACTCACAAAAGGAGGACTGTCCTCCCAAAAGGAGGACGGTATATGGAAAAGGAGGACATTTAGGAGGACACTTTTTGAGGGAGGACAGAACTCAAAAAAGGAGGACTGTCCTCCCAAAAGGAGGACAGTTGGTCACCTTAATAAAAAAGATAGCAAAATATTAATCCTAATCTACTGGTGGAAAGGTGGCAGGTAAAAGATTTTAGTCTTTTCTCAAAATGTCCCCCACCACTGCCCCAATTTCTCCTTTGTTCTTCACTCAATGGCAATACATCTGCTATGTCCGATTTTGTTGCACTACAAGAAAGTATATGCCGACTTCGGTGCCTGGGATGCAATCTTGTGATTGTTATTCATGTTGTTACTCATTATTCATGTTGTACATTGAGGAACATTAGCTAAACAATCTCCATTTTTATAGCAATTTATTCTATCTTAGGTAGGAAGGTTGTAAAAGGTTGCCAGGCTCTTAGGACAAAAGATCTTAAGTCACAAAATCAGTTGACCGGAAATTCAAATTGCACAAGCCAAGAACTTTTAAAGGCCAGACAAAGTGCAGCTTCCAATGTAGAATTATAGATTTTTTAAAAATATATTGGTCCTTTATTCCAAGCAGAAACACATAAACTAGCTGGAGAAACAAAACAAAACAAGAAACTAAGTGCAAAAAACAACATCTAAAATGGCTAGAAGGAGAAATGAAAAGATTGACAATTGGGGGCCAAGCACAAGCCATCAGAGATATTGCTACTTATCAAAATGTCTTTGTCTGATAAATGGGCTTTCTTTCTCTGCTTATATTATTGGAATGGTTATTCTACTTCAGGGAGGTGCTGGAGGAGGAGACTACGTGTCCTTTTTACAGAAATCAAAATCTTGAGAACAATATTCAACCTAGTGTAACACTTCAGCTACTTCTCAAGTCACAAGGAAAAACACTTCTCCTTTTTGCCAATTCTGTATCTGTTGCTCTCCCTTCTCTATGAGCAATGAGAATCTAAAGCACCTTCTATGCCCAGCAATTTATTAGCAAAGCACTAAGTGATGATAATACAGAACCTGTCTGGGTGTCTGCATGCCATCAAGTGTATATGAAGAACCAGAGAGATACAGTACTACGGTGATGAGCAGGCACATCTCAATGACCATTCAATCATTGGGAATATAAATATAAATATTCCTGATAATTCCTGGTGAAAGATGTTGAGACCTTGGAAAAAGTTCAGAAAAGAGCAACTAAAATGATCAAAGGCCTGAAGACTAAAACATATGAAGAACGGCTGCAGGACTTGGGTTTGGCTAGTCTAAAGAAAAGAATAGGAGAGACATGATAGCAGTATTGAGGGGCTGCCACAAAGAAGAGGGTGTCAAATTATTCTCCAAAGCACCAGAGGACAAGACAAGAAACAATGGTTGGAAACTGAACCAAGGGAGAAGCAACCTAGAATTAAGGAGAAACTTCCTAACAGTGAGGACAATTAACAGTGGAAGAGTTTGCCTTCAAAAATCATGGACGCTCCCTCACTGGAGTTTTTTAAGAAGAGACTAGACAGTCACTTGTCTGAAATGGTATAGGTTCTCCTGCTCGAGCAGGGGGATGGACTAGAAGACCTCCAAGGTCCCTTCCAGCTCTATTCAAAAGTCCAAAGATCAATCAAATATAGTTACGAATTGCTGCTTAGTTAGGCTAAGTTTCCATGTTATTACTGGAAACAGAGGGTTTGTAAAATCCTCCTCCAGAGGGCAAACTTCTTTTCAGATGAATAGTTCCACTTCAAAATGCTTCTATTTGTATGACAAAATAAATATGGGAAGTACACATATTTTTCTTGCCTACAAGTCAGAAACAATGTGTTTACAGAAGACTGAAGCCCCAAAGAGAAGAACAAGGAAAAAACATTTCCTACTTGTAGGTTTTTTAATGCAAGAAGTTTATTGAACACAGGATCTCTTCAGTTAGGCTGGTATAAGTGACCAAAAATTAAATATTTCACATCCAACATCTCACTTAATTCACCACGTGCTATTTTAGCCCTTTTGAAATAAGTTTTAAAGTAATATTGCCACTAGACTTGCCAGCAAATCTCATTTCATGGTAAAACAATATTCCATGCTATTTGGGAGAGTTTTGCTGAAAGAAAACATTAGTACAGCAGGAATGTAAGGTAAAGGGGAGAAAGATATTGAGCAGCTCTCATGGAGTTCGTAATTTGCCAGCACCACAACCACAGCAGTTTTGTGCTATTGACCAGGAAATAGAAGGGAAAGACAAGATGTCCTCTCACCAATGACTATCCAATGCCTAAAGAATCTAAGAACAAGCAAACTCAATAGTTCCTTTTTTTCTACCTTCTTTTATGGAAAAAAGGGAGAGAAGAAATGCAGTAACCCAAAGAGGCATAAAAAGTCTTCTTTCCAAACAGCAGAAGTCTGGTTTCTGCAATGAAATGTTTTCAGAGTCTCACAAAATGGAGGTCAGAGGTTACTTTAGTCAAACAGTCACTGAGTCATCTGGCTCAAAAGGAGCACAGCTAATCTCCCATCTAGTCCTGAATGTGCCTTACACTGAACAAGCAGTATTAGCAGACTGCAATTAAAGGAGGAGACTTGTTTGCTCTCACCACTTTTAGTTTTGGTCACCACGAGGTAAAAAAGATGTTGAGACTCTAGAAAGAGTACAGAGAAGAGCAACAAAGATGATTAGAGGACTGGAGGCTAAAGCATATAAGGAACGGCTGCTGGAATTGGGTATGTCTAGTTTAATGAAGAGAAGGACGAGGGGTGACATGATAGCAGTGTTCCAATATCTCAGGGGCTGCCACAAAGAAGAGGGAGTCAAGCTATTTTCCAAGGCGCCTGAAGGCAGGACAAGAAGCAACGGGTGGAAACTAAGCAAGGAGAGAAGCAACCTAGAACTAAGGAGAAACTTCCTGACAGTTAGAACAATTAACCAGTGGAACAACCTGCCTCCAGAAGCGGTGAATGCTCCAACACTGGAAGTTTTTAAGAAGAGAGTGGACAGCCATTTGTCTGAAATGGTGTAGGGTTCCTGCTTGAGCAGGGGGTTGGACCCGATGACCTCCAAGGTCCCTTGCAATTTTATTATTATTATTAATATACCAATTACCTGCATATAATCACCTTCCCCTTTGGAGAATTTGTCCCTCTCCAAGCTTTTCTTGCAAAGCTGATGTGAGAGGGGCTAAAAACTTTCCATTTCCTCCTTCATCTTAACCTACATTTGTTTTACACGGTGGCACTGCAGAGATTCTCAACATTCTTATCCCTCTAACATATGTTTTTTATAATACAGAAAGCAAAGGCTAGGAGAGTCTCATCCTTTTCCCAGCATCACCAGTGCCCCTGGCTCTCAGCAGGGTGGATAAGGAGAAAATGCCTCAACTAGGGCTTTGCAGGAGCATGTGCGTGCTGCATTCCCCAACCTGAGAAAATGCAGACCAGATGGCTGCTGTCCTTATTTAATTGCATTACACCAACATGCTTGACAAAGAAAGCCTTTAAGCTAATGACGGGGGGGGGGATTCCTCACTAGGTTGTACACAGAGAGAAGACCCCAAGTTGAGTAGAGGAGGATGGCAACTCTGGCAACATGTAGGCACCTTAGAATCCATTAAAACAGTGGTTCTCAACCTGTGGGTCGGGACCCCATTTGGGGTCAAACGACCATTTCACGGGGGTCGCCAAACCACGCTGTCCACCATTTTTTTCCCTTTTCCCTAGCTGTCCGACTCCCTCTTATTGGTGGCCACACCCACTTGGGGGTCACCACAACATGGGGAACTGTATTATGGGGTCACGGCATTAGAAAGTTTGAGAACCACTGCATTAA